CCCAAGGAGCGGAAGCACGACCGCGCCGGGGGGGGGGTGGCTGAGCTGAGCAGCGCCCTGTTCCCTCCTCCCAGACCATGGCCTCTCCGTAGTGCAGCATCTCCCCCGCCTGCAGCTCCTCAACCTCTCTGCCTGTGTTAAACTAACCGACAACTGCCTGCAGTTCCTGAAAGGTACGCCTGCACGCACGCACGCACGCACGGGCGTGTCCTTTGCCCTTCTCCCCAGCAGGAGATGAAGGGTTGGCTTTTCCTCCAATGCTGAGAATGAAGGGCAGAAGGCTCGTGAGCCTTGCCCCTGTATGGCACCTCTTGCAGGTGGGCGCCATTGCACTCCATATCGATGGGCCTAGATCCTGAACTGGCAGATGGGAGAGGAGGGTGGCATGTGAAGGAGGAGGGGTGGCACCTCCCCCATCCAGCCCCTCGCGTATCCACAGGGCTGTCGGAGTTGTCTCACCTGGCGCTGGATCAGACACGCGTAACGGACTGTGGCTTGGCAGAGTTCCTTCTGACGGCACCTCCTGCCCTCTCCCACTTGAGCCTCAACCAGACCGGCATCACGGAGAGCTCTCTGCGCCTCCTGCCACAGTGTGTCCCCCAGCTCTGGGAGCTGAGCCTTAAGCAAACGGGCGTAAGTGGGGAGCTCAGGGGTTGCTCTGAGGGCAGCCCTGGTGGCCTGGAGTGGGGGGGTTCCGGGCATCGGGACGGGGGGGACGCCTTTCCAACAGTGCCAGGCCGGTGTTCCCAGATCACTGATGTGTTGTCCCTGCGGCACTTGGAGGCTCTGCAGAGGCTCTATCTGGACGGCACCCGTGTGACCGAAGCCTCCCTCCGGGCCCTCTCCTCCCATCCGGCCCTCTCTTGCTTGACGCTCTCTGGAGTCCACTCGGTCGACGGCAACCGGGCTCTGGAGCTGGTCTCAGGTACAGGGCAGAGCTGGGCTTCCCTGCGAGCAGAGCTTGGGCTGGCTGCCCCAGTGGAAATGGGCCCTTCCATGCTGGGTTGGCCAAGCTGGCAAAGAGGTAGTTGGGTGGGCAACCCAGAGCTCCTGTCCCCTTCTCTTGAGGTAAGGCTGGTGGCCAGCAGAGGGCAGGAGTAGCCCTTTGAATCTGCCCGGGTGCTGGTTCACAGGTGGTGTTCAGTCCTGAGCAGATCAGCTCCCCACACCCAGAAGTATTGCTAAGCTGAACATTGCAGCTGTTAAGCTTCTCCCTGGATAATTGCACTGTGGGGACCCAGCCTTGAGCGCAAACCTTCCTCCCTGCAGCGTTGGGGCTCGCTCACCTGGGGCAGGCACCTGGGCTCCTCCGTCCTCTTGCCCAAGCTGACTGCCCTCCAGGGACGTGGGAGGGGAAGCGCAGAGGAGTAAGGAGGGCGACCTGCGCTTGATCAGATTCTGCTGGAGCCGGGCTTGCCAGGGGGCTGCTGCTGGCCCTGAGCCAGGGGCCCTCCGCAGCTCAGGCATCTGGCGCTCCCGGCTCCCTTTTCCAGCTCTTCCCCTGACGCGGCTGGGGCTGCCGAGTCGGCACACGGTCACCGACCTTGGCCTGGCTGCTGTCTGTCGACTGGCTGGCCTCCTTGAGCTGGACCTGACCGACTACATGCATGTCACGGACGAGGGGCTGCGGCCTCTGCCTCGCCTGCGCAGGTGAGGGGCGCTCCAGCATCCCCCTCCCTGCAGCTCTTGGCTTGGCTGCCTGAGCTCCACACCGCCCCAGGTGCTCTTTAAGGAGGAGCTTCCAGACAAAAGGCCGAGGGGCGAGCACTGTCCTCTGCTGTCTCCAAAGTCCGCCGGGTGGGCGATGAAGCGCCCTTTGTGCCTTTCTCCATGTCTGGAGTGTTATATCCTTCTCTCCTCCCAAATTGGATTGCCATATGATCTCCATGCGCCCCGGTGCCGGAACTGCAGCCTTTGCCCTCGCCTGGGCAATAACATGGCTTCCCTTCCATCCGTCTCCTGAGACCGTGTCGAGGAGCCCATTGCCCTTCCAACTTGCATCGCGAGCCTTAGTGGCAACCGTGTGGGTCTCTTCCAGGTTGCGGTGCTTGTCGCTCGCTAACACGCTGGTCACGGATCATGGGCTGCAGCACATCCGGGCCCTGCAGCTTCTGGAGGAGCTGTGCTTGGACCGCCTCCCCGTCTCCAGCTCTGGGGTGGCCCGCTGCGTCGTCAGCCTCCCACAACTGCAGGTACTGCCGGTTCTCGCCGTCAGTCCTTCAGGGTTGCCAGATCAAGAGACGGGCTCCATAAGAAGCCTGGAACGAAGCTGGATTGAGAGAGGCTCCCTGAACAGTCTTGCCGTCCGTCCGACTGTGTCTCTCCTCCCCTCGGGCCAGGGAGGAGCCAGCCTGGGCCTCTTCCCTGCACCGGCTCCTTCCCCAGAGCTTGAGGAGCGCTTCTATCCCTGAGTCTTTGTAACGAACGGCTTCTGCGTAAGCGTATCGCCCTCAAGGCCATCTCCATGGGTCTCTGTGCCAGCCTGCCTAGAGGAGACGCCTGGGCATCTGCTGCCCCGGCAAAGAGTGCTCGCGGCGCCATGATCTCTCCCCCACTTCCCTAGGTGCTGAGTCTTGCGAGCACAGCAGTCGGGGACTCGGTGGCCAGGCTGGGCCTTGCTCAGTGCCGGCAGCTGCTGAAGCTGAATCTGAGCCACACCCGCCTTACTGACCGAGGTAAGGCCTGTGGGAGGGGACGCTGGGCCTTGCCCAGGTCGTTTGGTGATGCGTGGGGAGCAAAGCAGAGGGGCAGAGGGTTGCCGTTGATGGCCAAGTGCCGAGAACAGAGACTGCAACCCACAACTGTCCTGCCGCTGCCGCTGCTCATTTTGGGGGTTTGGGACGCCAGGGCACCTTGGCATCCCTCCCTCGAGCTGGGGCAACCTCCTTCCTTCCTCCCGCCTGCCCTCCCTCCTCCCTCCTTCCTTCCACCTGCCTTCCTCACCGCCCCATCTTGCCTCCTCCCCAGGGCTCCGCTTCCTCGGCCAGGTGCCCCTCGTCCAGCTCAACCTGGACAGCTCGGGGGTGACGTCTGTCGGGGTGACTGACCTCCTGGCTGCCTGCCCCACCATCACCAGCATCCGGAGCAGCCACCTGCGGGTCTTGTCCCCGGCTGAGCTGCTGGATGAAGACGAACCCAGCGACTAGGCCACAGCTTGCTCCACAGGGCCCTGTCCAGGTGCTTCCAGGGCAGAGGCCTTTGACTTGGTCCCTCCGGAGACTGTTTTCGTGGTCTGGATTCGCCACAGTGGACAGCTCGAGGCCACTGAGGGAGGAGAGAGGGCCAAGGCCTGCCCCGCTCTGCACTTACTTCAGGGGGCGCCGGCTTTCTTCCTGCTGGGATGAGCTCCCTGCTGCACAGGACCTACTGAGCTTTGGAGGCTCAGCATCAAGGAGGGAAGGGCAGGCAGGACTTTTGCTGGGCGGGGCGGGGCATGAAGAAAGTGCCTGTAAGGTCCTTTCCACTGAGCAAAGTGGTGCTGCAGGTGTTAGGGGGAGCAGAGGGGAAATACCATGCTTTGTGCCTTAATCGTTTCCAATAAAACAATGCCTTATTTTTACTGTTTAAGTGATCTGGAGTGGATGTGGAGTTTCTTTTCCCTGATCCAGGTTGCAGAGGTGGGGCCTTTCTGAGGAGGACAAAAAGACCATGAAGCCATGGGCATTGGTCCTCTCTGCACTGCCCCTCCCCTTTCCAGTGGAAATGCTGCCAGTCGTGTGCCAGGAGATCTGGCCTTCCTGAGAAACAAGGTCATGACGGAGAGGAGGGAGGGGCCCTTTGGGCTGACCTCTTGGCTCTCGTCCCAGGCAGTCCCCAAGACGGCCGTCTGTGCCAGGCTGGCCCCAGAGAGCCAAGCATTGCGCTGCTCTGTTCCTGGCTCTTCATTTAGTGCCAGGTCTGCCCAGAGTACAGTGGGCCTTGTGGGAGACCTCGTCAAAGAGCACAACATGGAGGAGCCCCATGTTTGTTGCAAGCATCCTTAGGTGCTTGCTTCGCAAGAAAGAGGGACCCTGAACAAGGGGAAAGCAAAGATTCTTACAGAGGTTGAGGGCTGCAAGGCAGGAGATCCCAGGGATCTGATTGGCTGGCCCTTTTGGGGAACCAGTAGAAGCGAATGTGTGTAGCTCACGGTTGAACTGAACTGTGGCGTCCTTGGGGTTCCCTGAGCTTGGCTGTTTTCTTGCAAACGTTTCATTACCCGGCTAGGTCACCTCTTCAGTGCTAGAAT